ACGGATTCTTTGATGAAGCTTGCTAAGCAACTGGATCGTCTTGGCTGTGCGGCTTGAGGCTTCCAGAACAACATGATTCAAGATCCAATACAAGCATTGAGCGTGCGATGATAGAGGGTGTACTCCGTAGAATGTGGAACTCGGCGATTTTGCCCACGAGGGAGACAACGTGCATGAGCTGTATGCAACAAGTGTGGCGCAAAGCATAAGCATGTCATAATCATTAATCATCATTATAGTCAAAGCATTGATACAGCAATTAATATTCTCTCGGTTGGATTTGAGTACAATGGAATACTGGTTGATCACGTTCCTTGAACCATCAATTCCTTGGGACGGGATTCCAGTGAGGGTGATGATGAGAAATCATGCGTGGGACCGTGATCGAATGACGCTAGATAACTAGATATCCCGGACTGAAGCCCGAGAGACTGAATCCAGGCCAATAGAGGCACTAAAATAATAGGAATTGCTTACCTCACTGGCCTTTATATGCTGATCTGTAGCTACTCATTTTTCCTTTCCCAACGTCTGCTCTAGCTGTAGAGTCCATTTCGACAAGGAAACCGGTCGCCTGGTGGCGTCTTCTTCATCTGTGCCAGTTATCGGATTGTCCAAACGCCTTATCTCGAGATCTTGTTCGTCTTTAAATCGACCTTCGTGTACATGCATTTGATAGACATCTCTTCCTTCGGTAGTTATCCTGTTGTTGAGATCGTACCTTGCATCACTGCATGGAGACATTCATCTCTCGATTCCGCCTAGGTGAATAAAGATGCCGACCCTTCAGCAGCCCGACTCTGTTCCCACAACAGAAAAGCCTGAGTGGCCTGTCGATGGGGATTCGTCAAGTGAGAAAAGCACGGAAGAAGCTCGAGAACAAGAGACACAACGGAGTGAAGAATTGGATACAACTTTTGCACCCATCAATGCGTGCGTCTCAACAAACAATGAGCGACCGCAGAAGCTGCAGCGCACTACGTCTTCGACTATTGAGCGCAGCTGGTCTCTGAATGATGGATACAGTTGTCATACTGTCGCCGAAGAAGCAGAAGAGAAATCCAACCAGCCGGGAGAAGCAGCCGACGGTGATGAGTTTGTTGTCGGATGGGACGACAATGACCCGATGAACCCCCGGAATATGAACAAGTTCCGGCGATGGCTTATTGTCGTGATCGTCTCGTCAGGTTCTCTCTGCGTGTGAGTCTCGAGTCTGCGACATAGGCCTATAGACAATACTGACAGTACGGCTTCGAGGACTTGCGCCTCGTCCATGTATACTTCCACCTATGAGCAGCTGATGAAAGAGCTCGACTGTTCTCGAATTGTAGCAACACTTGGCCTTTCCTTCTTCATTTGGGGGTTGGGTAAGTCTGCTCCAGAGTCTCCCTTGCGTGGTTTGTGGGTATTGACCAGAGGCTGGTCGTAGGAATCGGGCCGTTGATTCTGGCGCCATTGTCAGAGGTTTGTCGACTCTGCATAGCTCTGCGTTTCACTGCTGATATGCCGTAGTTTTATGGTCGGAAATGGATTTACATCGTCTCGTTTACCTTCTTTCTGATATGGTTGATCCCATGTGCCGTGGCGCAAAACATCCAAACTATGATCGTCAGCCGTTTCTTCAACGGCCTCGCTGGCAGTGCTTTTCTCAGCGTTGCGGGGGGTACAGTGGGCGATTTGTTTGACCGCCACGAACTCAGTGCCCCCATGATGCTATACACGGCTTCCCCTTTCATCGGTCCAGAAGTGGGCCCGCTGTATGTTCTCCAATTCTTTCAGCTCGGGCTTTGACGCTGTTGAAGGTCGCTCTTGTGCAACAGGGACTGACAGGACCTTACCTTCAGGGTTGGCGGGTTCATTAACCAGTTCACGACATGGTAAGCTCGTCCATCCTTTAGTTGAAAAGCATTACTTTAACAAGCCTATCATATCTTCAGGCGCTGGACGTTCTATGTCCTTCTCATCTGGTCCGGTGTCCTTCTGGTCTCGATTATCCTGTTTGTTCCAGAGACGTACCACCCAGTGTTAGTGCTTTCAGGCTTCTGTATCGTATCTAAAGGTATTGATTCATCTGACTCGACTTGCCCAGACTCCTCCGGCGCAAGGCACAAAAGCTGCGCAAAGAAACGGGAGACGACAGATGGAAGGCTCCAATCGAACGAACGAACCGCTCGGTAGCACGGACTGTCCTGCGATCCACTTACCGGCCGTGGCTTCTATTAGCGCTGGAGCCGATGTGTTTGAATCTCTGTATATTCTCTGCCATCCTGCTGGGTATCCTCTATCTTTTCTTTGGCGCTTTTCAGCTCGTCTTCGGCAACATATACGGCTTCGAGCTATGGCAAAGAGGTCTGTCGTTCCTTGGTCTCTTTGTTGGCATGGTCTTTGCCATTCTATCTGATCCTTTCTGGCGTCGAATCTATGTTCGTCTGGAAAAGAAGCACGAAAAAGCTGTTGGGAAACCAGATGATTTCCAGCCCGAATGGCGGCTACCCCCAGGTGCGTATATCCTGGTGACTTGGTTATCCGCATATTGAACCAGAACAAACCTTGCTAATATTTGTCTGCTTCTTATGCAGCGATCCTTGGAGGTCCGCTCGTCACCATAGGACTCTTTATGTTTGCCTGGACTATCTATGCTCATGTGCACTGGATCGTACCACTGATTGGCAGTGCGTTCTTCGGAGCCGGGTAAGTTTGCAATATGGCTGACTCCCAGACATGATTGCAGTCGCAGCAGCGCCAATAAGCTGAGTATAGACGCTAATTCTATCTGTTGCACGAACAGGACCATCCTCGTATACTCGGGTGTATTCACTTTTCTGGTTGATGCCTACCCAACATACGCAGCGAGCGCTCTGGCAGCAAACAGCTTTGCTCGCTCGACCTTTGGTGGTGTCTTTCCATTGTTCGGTAACCAAAGTAAGCATTCTCTTCCTGGATTTCGCAGCGACTTTCTGTCTATGCATCTGCGGTCGCCCGCGAAGTCGAGCCGAAGGTACAAGTCAGAAGAACAGTCTAAACCGTCACCGGTGGTAGACTCCCACTCAGCTGACCTGTTGTTACGAAATGCAATGCCTGTGCTTCATTATGTCCCCGGTCACTGCTGATGATTGAAATGCAGTGTACAATAATCTGGGTTATCATTGGGCGACATCGCTGCTGGCCTTTCTGACACTTGCCATGTCACCATTTCCGTGAGTATTTCCCTTTTTTTTTTTTTTTTCCCCTCGTACTTCGAAGGCCAGAGACTTTCCAAGGTTTCTACTGTTTGATCCATGCTCCATCCTCCTTGCATCAGCTTGCAGCTGTCAGCCGGGGTAGCGGCAATTGCGTGGCTTCACGTATAGAATCTTTCGCTGACTACGGTCTACAAAACAGGTACATATTCTTCCGATATGGCAGCCGTATCAGAAAGAACAGTCGATTTGCTACGTGATAGACCACCAACTTTGTTGTCGCCGCGTATCGAGCGTGCATTGCCATGGTGGCTCGACATACTGGGACCGAGCTATTGCTTGCTGCCTTCATGGTAGAAGTTTTATCCGGCAAGGGTTGTACATCTAAACATAGACATATGCATCCATGCAGACATACGCATACGTAGAATATACCTAATGCACAGAATCAACAGGACGAAGAGAATGGCTCTCTAAAACAACTGCATTGACAAGCTCGCACGTATCTAGATACTCGACAAGTATGACAAACTATCGGCCATATACAGCAGAGGACCAGCTGCTGTATTCTCTAGTAATCCCTGACTGACCTGGGCAGACGGACCCTTGTCATTACCAAGCAATCGAATCCAGGCCAAGCCAGACCAAACCTAAAGACGTTGGCCCTTACCGCGCATTACCTTACCTTGGCGGCCCAGGAAGTAACTGTCTAACAATCTCCTGCAACAACAGTCTATTGCAGAAATATAGCCCCTATTCAGCCATCCCCATTAAGCGCATGACTGCCCGTATGATGCAGGAAAAAGGAAATCCAACAGGGTTATGCAGGAAAGCCTCTTTTGCCGAGGCATGTCCCCAAGCTGGGCAGGCTGTCGAGGGTCGGGCGATCACGGGGAACTTGGTGGCATTCCGGTATTACCCTGCGTAATTTTGGAGAGTTTGAGGGCTTTATTGTACGTAAAATGACTCATAGAAATGGATTGGGCTTCGTTTTGTTGATTTGATCATTGAGGTTGGTGTTCGCTGATGGTGTACAATGTAGTCGAGGTTAATTTATCCTGTTGGTATGAAGGGAGAAGAGGATTGGATAGCATGTCTACAGTATCATGAGTATACGAATCTTGAGATTTAGATGGAGCAGCACGTGGGATAAGATATGCTGGAGGTGCCTGAGGCTTGAAACAGGTTGATACTATGTATGTATTATCACAAGCAAGCTTCATCTGGACATTGATACTGGTGACGCATGTGAGATCAATCTTCCAGCTCATATCAGGTACCATATATGCGGCAATTGTTCTCTGTCTGTCTTTCTGGACCTCATGGCATGATGTGATGATATCTGCAGGACTCGAATATTGCATTCCTGATTGCCAGTGACTACAGGTCAGCCGACCTTTAGGAAAAGTTCGGATATTCACAACTAAGGTCGGGTAACTCCGCTTCAGGTCAGAAACATTCACTGAGACATATTATGGTCACATGACATTCCCCACTATAAAGGTCGGCTGAGCTCAATACTGTAACTTACCTTCTTACATCTCTCTCATCTCTCTTCCCCCCCGCCCCCMTTTCGATTTTTTTCTTTKAACTAGTTGTCAACTAGTCTCTATCTACTCTGACTTCTCTTWTTCTCTACTTTTACCTCTCCCCTGAACACCATGTAGGTAGGTCTTCTCCTTTTTAATACTATTACCATCATCTCAGAATACTCTCACCTTCATCTCACAATTCCGGCTGCCCAACTAGTTAAGAACTAGTTAGGAAATCTACATTATTATCTTCTGGCTAACTAGTTCTTAACTAGTCCAATCATCCAGAATGGCGCTCGTGAAGAAAGCTGTAAGTGATTTCTTTAACTAGTTCAGAACTAGTTAAGGACTAGTTAAGGACTAGTTCATATGCTAACCTGATTATAGGAATCTTACAAGAGCTACCTTGAGTTGGGTCCTGACAAGCTGAACCTGCCTCCCTTTCAGTCAAATGTAAGTTAACATATACTAGTTATTGACTAGTTACTAACTAGTCCACAGGAAAAGGGCTATCTTGAGATCTTCCTTGGGGAGGTATTCTGTCGCCATCCTGGCTGCATCAAAGAGGTATGTAAAAGAAATCTCTGTTTAAAGTAAACTAGTTACTAACTAGTTCTATTCAGGGCCGCTTCCTTTCCCTCAATAACCTAAAGAAGCATGTTCAAACGGCACACAAGGGCAAATACAACATTTATGCCACTGAGGGAGGTGCGCCAAATCATGATGAGCAGGCTGCTGCCATTAGTAAGTACCAATCTAACTAGTTCTTGACTAGTTACTAACTAGTTATAGACTTCTACAATACTCTGTACGAGGAGTATGTGGCTACTCTGAAGCAGGATGCACCAGACCTCCCCGCACTCCCTAAAAGAAAGGATGGAAAGGTAAGTATCTTATATTTACTAGTTTTTAACTAGTTCCCAACTGGTTACTAACTAGTTTAGGTGCACGCAACGAACATGAAAAAAATGGTTAAAGAGATGGGGGGCGTGGTGCCGTGTTCTGCTTGCAAAGATAAAAAGAAGCCAAGAGGTAACTTATAAGATTCTAACTATATTCTTTTAACTAGTTACTAACTAGTTCTTTAGGTTGCTGCTCAGAGGCAGCACGCACCTTCTGCGACAACTTTGACCTTTTTGATGAAGATGGTGAAGAGGAGGAGTCGGATGATGAGGAGGAAGAGGAGACTGATGAAGAAGCCTAACTAGTTTAAAACTAGTTAGGTATGAACTGTTCCTTTGTTTTATGGAGGTTTGAAAGGCGTTTTAAACTAGTTAATCTAGTTAAAGGCGTTGGTGGTGTGAGCTTTTCATGAAATGTAAACTAGTTAATAACTGGTTATTAACTAGTTTTTGGCTGTTCCTGGCCTCTACTTAATATCTCATTTTCCTGTATCCGAACCTGAAGTAATCTTTCCTCAAGCTGAACACGTCTTGCAAGTTGTTCAAGTGCACGTTCTTCTATCTCATACTGTGCCTGCCGTATCTGTAAATTCTGAACTTGCAGATTTGCAGTAGCTGCACGTTGTAGTTGCCTGGGGTAAAGAATAACTAGTTAGTAACTAGTTACTAACTAGTTATTAATAGAAACTTACGGTGATTGTGCACTTCTAAGAGATGTTAGTATATACCTATTAATAATATCACTGGAGAACTTACCTTGCTGGACTTGGTGAGGGGATACCTAAGAAAGGAGCTGGAGATCTAGGAAAGGTTAGAAATTACTAGTACTGAACTAGTTTTTAACTAGTTAGAAACTAGTTAAGGGAACATACTCGGATGGAGACTCAGAATATAGCCTAGTATTATAAGTATTTAGAATTAGTACTTAATAAAATAGGAATAATCTATTTACGTACCTTCTTGGGGCTGCCCTAGGCATTAAGTATGGGGTTGAGGTTCTAGAAAGGTTAGAAAGAATATTATATAACTAGTTCACAACTAGTAAGGAACTAGTTCATACTAACCKTGATCTTGAGCGTGGGGTTGGTGTTCTACCACGAGAACTACCTCTTCTTCCTCTTCGAGATGGTATTCCACCAGAAGAGTTTGAATCAAAGAGAATACTATCAGAATCCCTAATATCCTCTTCATTCTGACGCTTCCGCCTCCGACTCTCTAGGGGAAGTTAGTAACTAGTTACTAACTAGTTGGGAACTAGTCCTTACTTTCCCGGGTGAGACTATTCCAGTATCGAGTCTCAAGGTTATCTGACCGATATGAATGATGAGTACCAAAGGCATTCCGTGCCTGATACTGATCAATATCACGTTGATCAATAATGCGGGATCTACTATAGTTAGCCTAACTAGTTAATAACTAGTTCAGAACTAGTCCATAACTTACCCTAATGCTGCCCCTAATAATGACTCATGAACACCCATAAAATAAGATTTATAGTGGCTTTGCTCAACAGCATTAGTAATATTCCTAACCTGTTCAAAGAAGTCAGGAGGCATTAATGAGCAGGCTTTATTTAAGCCTGCTGCAATAACTGGATGGCGCTTATGCTCAGCCCAAGCAGAAATCTGTGGTGATTCATGATCTATAACTAGTTAGTAACTAGTCCATAACTAGTTAATTATTATAAGTAAGAACTGGAATATAACTAGTTAATAACTAGTTCTTACCTTGAAGAAGTTGAATAAGTTGATAATATTCATCTTCTGTTTCACAATCAAGAAGGCTTCTCATTCTTACTAAGGTAGAATAAGAAGAATGCTCAAGGTCATTACTATCTGCTGCTATTCCAAGTAGTTTTGAAATAGTTCGTAGAAAGTGAACACGACAGAGAATCATAATATTTCTTAACTGCCATGTCCATGGCCGGTGAGTAGGGTCAAGAGCAGAGAGGTAATGACCAAGACCTATAATAGTTAGTAACTAGTTCCGAACTAGTTATAAACTAGTTATACATACCTGACATCTGTTTACCGCACATATCAACGATAATAGCCTTAAACCCAGTATTATGAAGATAGTGAAAGTTCACTGGCTTCTGGGTTATATCAGCTATTAAGCTAAAGACTTGTTCAAATAGAAGTCTATAGCTTTGGGCTGTTTCCTGATTAATAAACACTCGGAGGAGTGTAAGAACTTAACTAGTTAGTAACCAGTTACCTACTAGTTAGGAACTAGTTTACTTACTCTTGCCATGTTCAGGAAGAAATGTTGCAAAGATCACCTCATTAAACTCTCCCTTAATCCTTTTATAGGACATATCAATTTCAAAGCTCTCAAGAGAGCTTAGAATCTGAATCTGCTCATCAAATCCACAGATAACCATTGTACAGTCATTATGGGTATAGACCTTCCGAATGTATTGCTATATACTAGTTTAGAACTAGTTCCCAACTAGATAGGAATTAGTTACTTACCTTTACCTCTGGATGGCGATCTATTTYATATAAGATGCCATTGATATTCCGACCACAAGGATAAAGAAGTGCTTTTTCTTTAGTAATAATAGCTGCAAATCGATCTTGATTTACAAAGCTATTATGAATCTGAGAAAGGGTCTGACCATTATACTGCTGACAGAACTGCCGAAGAGAAGGACTCCGTAAAAAGGTACCTATAACTAGTTAGTAACTAGTCATCCCTTATTATAACTACCTCTTAATCAACTAGTTTACAACTAGTTTAGAGCTAGTTAACTTACTCAGAGTTAGATCTGGATCCTGCATTCGCTTAATAAGATCTAAAATCTCATCCATAATAAGCTGTGGTGGCTTATTTGGTGGTGGTGGTGGATGAGTATGATCACCAGTTGATAGGAAAATAGCATAAGGGCATATCTGAAGATCTTCTGGAATAAAGATCTTAAAGCTAGCCTTACAGGCTATTTTCTGTAGCTTTCCAGCTCCCTGGGGATGTGTAATCCCTAAAGATAATATTAGTTAAGGATAACTAGTTAAGAACTAGTTATTAACTAGATATTAACTAGATATTAACTTACCGCAATGTGGTCGACGGCTTGAGTTTTGTTCAATAACTCCACATAATCTAGGCTCCTGTCTAAAGCCATCAGATTCAAGGAGTTCTTTAAGGCAATTAATATCAATATTCTGTGCCCTATTTGTGAGGTTCATATAGAAATAACCTTGATGGTTATTTCTATTTGCATTTGAACAGATGAGATAAGGCATTTGGGTTTGGGTAATCGACTATACTAGTTAGTAACTAGTTAATAACTAGTTAAATTAATACTATAAACTTACCTGGGTATCACTGAGTTGTAAGACTGGCCTACATGTTGATATTTGCTGAGAGCAGGCTGTATTAGCATCAAAACGCCGTTTGATGCTATAGAATATCCTATTAACTAGTTAGCAACTAGTCCTGAACTAGTTAGTAACTAATCCTTACCCTTGTGCAGCTTGCTCCCCTAATGATAATTCAGAATCCCTAATTCTAGAGCGTATCTCTGATATTCTCTCTAGAAGTGATKGTGAAACAGAAGTATGATGAATATTTAGTTCTGGTGATAAATATTCACATGCTTTAACCCCAGTACAATGATAAACATATTTTTTAACATTGCATGCTAGGAGTGGTGAGAAGGTCATTCGAGGAGTGCCAACCCTCTGATAAGCATATTGTATCTAAACTAGTTAGTAACTAGTCAGCAACTAGTTAGTAACTAGCACTTACATCATGTAATGCTTTCTCGAAGGTTTCCCGGTTGCGGCCATAACTTTTAATAATATAAGCATAGCCATTTTCATCAGACTTTGGATATTCTGGTAAATGATCACTATACTCAATAGATCGAGCAGTAATTCCAGGCTTTTTCCCTCCATGTGTAATAGGGATAATAGGTATTGGCTATTAACTAGTTAGTAACTAGTTATACTTAGGTAGATATATATATTTATTCTTACCGCTTCTTCCACAACACCAGTTGCAGTATTGCGATTATGTAAAATATCTTCATCTACCTCATTAGATAATTCATTAAACTCTGATTCAGGTGTAAGTAAAGATAAATCAAGAAGAGAATTAATTAATGTTGGATCATTCTCAAGATTATAGAAGTTATTTGATGAAGACATCCTGAACTAGTTGGTAACTAGTTAAGATAATAAGGTATGTAAAAGTTCAAAAACTATTACAGAACATGAAATTATTATTAAGATGTGGGATATTTATCTATTTATTTAGTGTAGGTCGGCTGACCTACTATTAGTTTTTCCGACCTACTTTTAGTTTATCCGAACTTTTCCGAAGGGTCGGCTGACCTGTAACCTGGTTGTGTTATGAGTAACACGTCCCAAAATCAACCCTGATCCCCTTGTCAAGGCGGGCCAGGCGCCCACGCCTCATATCCGTGCGGGGAAATTGTCAACCTTGTCGCCTGAGGCATATTGATCTGCGAACAGAGTGGAGATCATGCCTGACACGGTCGCATTCTCCAATGAGTCATTAAGGCATCATGATCAAAGACTTGAAGGAATGAGTAGATGATTTTATAAAGATTTGACACGAGCACAATGTCCATATCGGTCAAGACCCACAAATAGACAGAGGGCAAAAGAGCCCTGGATCAAGGGACAGATGTAACACAAGCCACAGGACTGACGGGATAGATCAGGCCATCCCCTCACAGAACTGGATTTGCTCGTTGCTTTCTGTCACCTTACTAAGGTAGTTGCTACCTCTTCAGGACCTGAGGAGTTGATGATTTAGGTTAAATTAATCTTACAATAATAAAGTAACTAATCACCTACCTCAGGTCAACCTAACCATAGTTCAGCAAATATTAAATCCAATTTAGTCCACGAGCGCTAAGCTACCAACCTCGGTCCTGAACTGCTCTATCAATTATTATTTAAGCCAGCCGCCAGCGCTCTCCTCTGACGCAACGGAGTCTGTGTCTGGACTTGGCCAGTTGCTCGTGATAACAAGTCCATTGTTATCCACCCAATCATCACCGTATTCTCCATCTATTCTGAGACAAACGAGCTGTACCTTGCACTGCAGTCCCTTTTGACTTGGAAGGGTCCTCAGCACACATTTCAACATCCTTCAATTTCTCCTGCCTCACCAAAAGCTGTGCTTACGCCGTTTGACTTCGAGGCTCACCAAACATCAGTTATATTTTCTACATTGTTATTTGCCTTGTTTTATGAACTGCAGGGGATAAACTCCGTTGATTTACTATGAAAGTCCTCGCAGCTATTGCGCTGAGCGCAACAGTTTTCAC